TTTAATAATATTTCATATTTTCGTTGGTCGTACGGAATCCTACTTCATTTTTAAAAATTTTTTATGTTCTTGTTTGTGTTGATTTTTAAAATAATATTTATAGTATTTCTTTAGTTGCAATTGTGATACTTGTTGATTTTACACAAACAATAATTTTCTTTATTATTATTATCATTGTTATAACATTTATGAGAGACAGCGTTGAATAGACATGCTGAAAGAATATCAACTATACTGATGACAAGCGAAACTAATACTAGTCTTGACACAAGTCCTTGTTCAAGAATTTGTGAGCTAAGAGTGTCTATCTTCCCTGCTATTCCTGTTCTTCCAGGCTGTTGTCAAGTTCATAATTATCATTGCATATCATAAGTCATAACATTAATTAATTGTTTGTTTTTAAAATAAAATAAAATAACACACTTGATAAAACAGTAACATGTAAAATCAATACCTTCTTTTAGCTGGAAACCTCCACTAAAGTATTGCAGTAAGTTGATTCCAAGCATAGCTTGGTAAAAAAATAACTTGCTTCTTCCAGAGCTGCAGATCGATCTGAGCATGCGCGACCACACCCAAATTTTGGAGCACATGGCAAGCTTCTTTAATTAACAAAATGGTGGCATGTAGCTAAGATGGCTCGATCCAGCAGTCACAGTATCACTTTTTCCTTACTTGAAGAATGATCTGATGGGACATGGACCTGCGCATAGACTGTTGGAGTAGATTGGTGTAAGAATTATTCTTGTAGCACCAACTGATACTGAGATACACACCGACAACTGGATTGACAGGACTTGATGATGATGATGATGAAGATGATGAATAAAGGTGGCTGAACAAAATGGCCGGATTGCCGATTTTTGACTTTTCACTTAGACAAGGTCTAGAGCCACGCTAGTTGTACCATTGGAGTCCTCTGGTCAAGATAAGGTCCTCTATAAAGTCTGGTAAGCACAGGAGCTCGTTTTCCCAGTATAGCAAGGCTGCAAAAGTCGTGGCAGCCATTTTGTTTGGGGGTGAATCCTACTTAGTAACGCTACCGCGTTACTAATATTACAGTTTCTTGTCAGAAGTTGCAAAAAAATTAGGCCAATTCCTTGTGCTACTATAGTACAGGGTGTTTTGTGAAAAATGGCTCATACAGAATTCTCTTTTCAAACATTTTCTGATACATAGTACATGCATGTTTTTATTGTGCATAAAACTTTTAAGTCTTAGCCCAAATTTCAGCAAAAAATTGACCAGGAGAGACTTTGTCATTAATTTTCAATGTGTTTTCTCATGCATAAACATGTACTTTGTTGTAGAAAAAGTTTGAACTATAATTGTAATTCCTATCGAAATAAACATCTTTATAAATTTCAAAGTTGCTCAAAAAATTGGGATGACGTCCATGTTCCATTTTAGTATATAAGAACATGACTATTAATTTTGGCAAAAATTTAATTGATTAAGATAGAAATTCCATTTTTATTACATTTTCTGTACTTACATGTAAATGCATAATTGCTTATGTTGTGTAGCTAGTACTGATCAAGGTACTAATGGTCAGATCTTAAAAACTTTTAAAAGTGCTTTCAAATGGATTCTCTATCATTTTTGGAATTTTCTTAGTTATTATTATATAGGCAGTAGCCTACATGTAGGATTGAGGTTGATTTTTCAAGATGGCGGCCGTTTTTATGATTTTCAAACACTTATAACTCTTTTATCTTACGTTGTACAGCCTTATAAATGGCTTAGATGAGCTCTCCTTCACTGAGCGATTCTCCTGGTACCTTTAAAGTGGCCTGTAACGTAGCGGGAGCATTTCTGGAGAACAGGCCCAAATTCAAATTTCTACAAAATTCTTCAGACTTTTTCTTCTTCTTCTTCTTCTTCTTTCATCTTCTTCTATGCACCAGATAATCTTTTAATCCAGAGAACCACTCAAGTTGGCTTTTACATCATTCTTTTGTGCTTAGGTCAAGGACCACAAAGGTAGTTTCAAGCAAAGACAGGGAGCAAAATGGAAGAAAAAATCCAGCTGCAGACACTGGGTGGGTTTGTGGTTTGACGCCATTTTAATTTATGTGCAAGTGATCAGTATGAACATAATTAACCTAACCACACAATCTTAACAGAATGTAATTTATCACATATATGTGACCATAATTGACAAAAGGTACCTTATGGCGGGTAGTGAAATTTGTCTTTCTAGCCTAAGAAATCCAACTTCCTGAGCCCCATTTATCATAAAATTACTCCACAGGATGCAAAAAGTTACCATGAAACTTTTAGTAACAATGATTGTCTAACAAAGCACTCACAGGTTGATATTTGCCATTATTAAGATCAATTTTAAAATCCGCCATAAGGGCCCTTTTGTCAATTATGGTCACATATAAAGAAATAAGAATGGAAACTAGTAAATAAAAAACATAAAAAATGGGAAAATAGTAGGATTGAATTGGGAAAAAGTAAGG